GTTTTAATATTCCAATTACGTCTACAAACCCAAAATAAATAAACCGGAGTTTGTATGAAAAGTACCAGTTTAGGTAACCTTAAATAGGTTCTTTGTTCAATTCGTTGGTGGCATGAATGAAATAGGAAACATTCCTGCAGTGCCTGGGTACATGGGTCTGGATGACCTTTGACCCTGGTGTTACATGGCTTAGTAGTCCAGGAGTAGTGGCTTTATGGGTCCTGCTCATATGGGACCACTTATCTTTTTTTATCAGACAGGAGAGTGTCTACATTTAAGTGTTTTTGCAGGAGGAAGGGAAGCAAGAATCCAACGTTTGAATTAACCCAATTAAAATGTGTAATATTATTGTTAAAACATTGCATGGAAGCAGAAATCGTGGAAGTCCTGACATATTGTGGTAACTAGCACTTGTGTGTGTGTGTGGGCAAGCAGCTGGGGGATTAGGGGGTCCACAGGCCTCAGTGACCCACAGAGAGCTCCTCAGCCCGGGTCACACAGCTGGCTGCAGGCTGGATGAAGTGAATGTGTTCAGTCTTTGTGTTTCTGTGGACCTCCGCTAACCTGAAGTGTCCAACAACCAAGTCAAATGTCCAAAGCCGAGCCAGAGGACGAGTGTGTGGTTGCGCTTGTATATCTAGATGTTGAAGTGAGATCTTTTAGCACTTAAAATGTCTTCCGTTATTCCTTGTATACGTACCCTGGTGATATAGCTATTTCTCATTGGTCAGAAGAGGTCGTTTACTCATAACATTCATAAAGTGCAAATTTCCATTCTTATTGATCATGTTATTTCTTTAAATACATGTTTTATTTGATCAAACGTAAAGTTGCAATGTATTAAATGCTCTCTAAATTGCATGCATTTGCAACTAAATGAACAAACAAATAGCGAGGCAGAGAGGAGAGGAGGAGGCAGATGTGTCTCTGAGCCGATGTGGAGCAGCTACAGGGTGTGATGTGAGCCTCAGGGACCAGGAGAGTGCAGCGCTGTAATGACACGCCGTGTAATACATCTGACTCACACTTCCAGCACATCAGCACCATATACCTCACCCCACCTCCCTCTGAGAGCAGCCTGAATATTACATCCACATGTGAGCAGGGAGTGTGTGTGATTACAGTGAGAGGAAAAGTGTGATCTGGTACTGAGAGAGTGTGTGCTTCCGCCTTATGACAGTCGGGAATGTGTGTGTATGGTGGAAGCATGGGGAATAAGGGGTGGGGGTTACCCTACACCTGCCCCAAGGAAACGGAAGGAGGAAATTAGTAATTCCCCCTCCACCCAAATTCTTATTAGAACCCCCACACTGGTCCTCCTAAACAGCTGGAAAACAACATGTGTCTCCCACCAATACCCGTGTTTATGCAAAGATGTTTCATTCAGAAAAAGCACTGACATATTATATTTATAACAAACCTTTCTAGAGCCATAAAGAACACCTTAAGCAATGAACATGTACCTCCTACTACTAACCTGCTCTGCCTTCAGTTTCAAGTTTGTGTTGTGTGTTTGTCTGCTTTTGTTCCCACACATGCATAAAAAATGAGTGCAAATGTTAAACTGCACTCACATTAATTTCATTTGCACATTTCATTCATTAATACGAGAACATACAGATGCAGCACCGAGGCATATGTAAGCACATCTGCCAGCGATGTGCTCACCTGTTAGCCAACTGACGAGCATAAGACACGCGTTGCATGCAAAATGAAATAATTGCTCTGCAGAAAAACAGCTGCTGCACTTCACTGCCAAACACTCCCACACACACACACACATTCATCTGATGTGTACACACACTTTTCGGGGTAAATTGTGTCATAATTTATAGAGATATCAGCTGGAAATGTCTTCAAAATCCACAGTCTATGGTTTAGTTGAAGACAACAGATAAAACACAGTCATGAATGATTGTTAATTAAAAAATATGTAATACGGTATGTTTAGAAAATTGACATACTCATTAGTGAATGATGCATTCTCCAGATTCCCCAAATTCATCTTTGTCCTAACCCTGCACACACACACTCGCTAATGGCGCTGTGCTAGCTGAGTGCTACGGACACAGAGCAGGCCCCTGGCTCCGCTGCAGAGGAAACCATTAGCCACTCTGCCCCGGCCCGCGAGGCAGCGCTGCTAATCAAAC